ACGGTCCTGTGGCTTCACAGGCCAAAGTGCGACTGATGCTAGCAATGTAGGTGCAAAACCACTACACAGATTGTCACTTTATATCTCTTTTATATCATTTTATACATTTTTTTAATTCTTTCTGCACTGCAAATCACATGTGTATATTACTTGTTGTGCTCATATAGTAATTTACTCTCAGGTCCGCTAACCAGTGTCTACTGGATATTTCCAGATCTCAGACATTATTAGCCATATTAGCGGCGTGGTGCTAGGATGGCATTGTCTGCCCATCGGTCAGTCTACCGCTTTAGTCAGACTAAAATATCTCAACAACTACTGGATGGGTTGCCAGGAAATTTAGCACAGACATTCACGGTCCCCAGAAGATGAATCCTACTTACTTTGGTGATCCCCGGACATTTCCTCTAGCACTACGATGGTTCACATATGTGGTTTGAGTGTGTTTTTATACAAAATATAATCTATACTAAACTAACTACAATGCAATACTTTGGTTCATGACAAAAAATGCAAATGAATGACAATCCCTTCATCCTTTGTCATTAATGCTAATTGTTAGCATGCTAACATGCTAAACTCAGATAGTGAACATTTTAAACATTATACCTGCAACATGCTTACCTGCACAGCCTCGTAGAGCTGCTAGCATGGCTGCCGACTTTTGTCTTGCTTAAAAAAGACTTCTCATGACTCACTTCTACTCCCACTTGTTTCTCTTTTGTCACTATCCTCTTGTGTTTGTTTACTATTGTGTCTGATACTTCCTGCTAAATGCTGTCACAGAGAAGCGCTTTATACAAATAACATTAAATTGTTACTTTCATACATTAAAAAGTACAAACACAAACCAGACAAAGACAGAAGCCTACTTACTGTTAGACCACTCCAATGAAAATGCAGATCATTCCTATAGTTATAAGCACAACAGCGCCTTCTAGGGAGCGCACTGCCAACAGAAGATCTGCAGAAACAGATTGAGAAGAGAAGCAAAATACTTTTTTAAAGGCCAGCATGCAAGGAGAGACTGTTAGAGAGGTTCAGGGCAGAAAGACATTTAACATGCAGAATACATTTTAGATATTTGTGTTTTGTTTGTCTTACACTCTGGCCCTGAGAGACACAGCATCTCATTCTTGTGTGTATTTTATGTGGTTATGGTTGGAATGACAAAACTACTTGAACTTAAAATTTACCTTGAATATATTTTACCTTTGTATAAGTTAATAAAATTTAACACAGGAGCCTGATGGACACATTGTATGATATGGTTGAAATGGTCTGCATGATGGGCCTGATACTTTCTTTGTCTCATCCTTTTTTGCTACAGTGATCTCACTCTACAGCCACACGACAATCCTGCAAGCCAAAAGTCTCTCTCTTTGTGTTTTAAGTTCCACATGAAAGCGCCAGAGGCCGGTCACATGCAACTCAACGGCTTGCTTTACTTTCCTCCCCCTCTCCGCTCTCACATGCCCCTCATGTGACGGGACTCAAACATTCTTCAGGAATCGCTGGTATTCAGGTGGCTTAGGGGAGCCTGATCACCTGATTTCTTACCTACTCTTGCTTCATCTTAAACATTCTCCTCCTGTTTTCACGCTTCCTCTTTGTTCAACTCAATGTTTACATTTGTACCACCGACCATCTCATTCATTTAACCTGTGACCATATATGGAGTTGGGGATTCTTTTCAAATGAACATCACTTGCAAAACCAGAATTAACCAGACTGGATCAACAGTCTCAGTCTGACTGGAAAAACAGCTAAAACTACAACACATTACTAATGTAGTTGGGTGGTGTTCCTCTGAAAAGGTGCTACTACACCAAAAGGTATCAGTTCCCTACACGCATTATGGTAAAATCACCACATGAGTCCATGTTACTTCAACTGTCACTTGATTTCTGTTTTTTTTTCTCTGACAGAAAGACAGAGATGGGAGAGCTAAAAAGATGGAAACAGATACAGATAGAGGGAAAGACAGAAATGGAGAGTCAAAGATAATTATTGTTACCATTAGCTAAAAAAGATTTAATAGTTTAATGCTCTCCCAGAAGAGTATAAGCTTTGTTTGTTATGCAATTTTGGTGAAACAGAACGTCCATGGTGTGTTAACTGCTCAATATAGGACTGCACGTATATACCCTTGATCTCTGCTGACTTCTTATGGGTTGATTAGCAGAAAAGGTTTGAGTTGTGTATCCAGATGAGATATCCATTTTTGTCTCACACATGTTTAATTTGTACAGCTTTGGGAGAAGAGACCAAGTTCTTTGTCTGCAATGTAATGTTTTAAGGTAGAAATAAAGGTGAAGATGGTAGAAGAGGTACAGAGCGAGACAGAGACCAGAATGGAGACAGATACAGAGATATGGGAAAAGATAGATGGTCTGCCTGCAGTAGATACTGTCCGAACCATCTCTTTCAGACACACCTTTCGATGCCCTCCCACCACCTCTCAACCCTGCGAACCTCCGATCCCATTGCCATTACATGTATTAAGGCCAAGCTCTGATTCCTGTCACACATCCAGATTAGCCTCCATTACTTCTCCTCCCCTCTCCTTCCGAGAACTACAAAATCCAGACCTCTAAAGGGCGGCATCTAATTAAAATTAATTTATCCATAAAGTAAGCATATAAACCTCTCCAGCAACGAGAGCCAAGGAGCTGAAAGTTAAAAGTATTCACATGTATGACGAGCTGTGCCATACCAAACCACAAATAGCTGAGAGTTGATGTCAATGCAGAAGTGGAAAGTTCTGTTCTACAGAAAGTCAGTGTTTTAAAACACTCTGCTTCCTCTAATGTACATTAATTCGTGTTCTGGTAAGATTAAGATTAAGGGCTTTAAAGCTGGATATATCAGGTCATGTTCACCTTAATGTGACAGGTCTTGTAAGAGCCAACACTGCGGTGGTCACCTAACTGCAGCTCCACCATACTGCCTAAATCTAGATTTTTCTGGCTCCATCTACTAACAAGATGGCACTGAGTGAAAAATTAAAGCTACAAAAAGTCCCTTCCAAAAAACTACAGTGACGTCACATGAGGATTTGTATTTGGACTAGTTTATGGCTTAAACCTACGCAGCACCCTTTTTAAAGACCATAACAGTGAATTTGCATGTTTAAGCCCATTTTCTGCAAATAATTTAAACCTTTACATCATTATTAACCATTTTACAAACCATGCTTACTGTGTTCAGTAATCAGACTGATTTAGGCGGCCATTGGTTTCCATTTATTTCTGTACAATATGAGTATGAAGTTGCAGATTCTTGACACTCTTCGCAGTGAACATCAAGCGTGCATTAGTATTTGTTAAGTTACATTATAACTATGAGGCAATTCACAATAAACAGTCTTAAACTCTAAAACCAGGCAAGAATAATGTAACTTAAACCAAACTCACTGCAGACTTAATGTTCTAAGGAAAATTTTACACACTTAAGTAGGTTTTCAAGAGTCTGCAAATTATTTTCACAGAGAAATTTTTACAAATGCAACTGTAAGAAATATAAACAGCTTAAATATAAAGTATGCATGAATTGGAGCTAAAACAAACTTTTGGTTTCTTATTTAATAAGATGTTTGGATTCTATTTTGTAACCAGTGTCCATCTAAAGACTGAAAATAAATCCTAAGAAAAAAGAAAATGTACATTTCATGGCAGTCAAGTAAAATGTGTGTTTCACTGTGACCTTTATGAACTGACTCAATTATTTAGAGATTTGATGGACTCACATTTTTTTGCAGTGGGGACACTTGGCTAGCGTGTTAAACCGAAGCTCCATCCACTGTGATGAAACAGAAGAAGCATTGTTAAGTTATATTACAGAGGAACATCCGCACATGTGAACACGGACATGTAAGAACACACTATAATCGTCCTTCACTGTTAGAACAATCAACACAAGACCTACTGATTTTACATGATCAGTCATGACGGTTTGCAACTTTTCAATTGATTATTTCTGTATTGGAGAAAATATCAAAAGGTTGGCTAAATTAGCATCTAAAATATGTTAGTTAGTGTTCTGATGTTAAAAAAAGCAGTGTTATGAAACTGTTTATCGCATCACAGATCAGCATAATTTAAGGCCCTATTGACACAAGTTTAATATGTGACTTTTGACATCTGGCTTCAAAGGAGGAATGAACATTTCAATATCTTGATTTTCATACACTTTAAAATCAAATTTACCTTTCTTTAACTAAAATGCCCTTCAAAGCCATATGTGTACAACGTCATATTATCACCAGTGTAAATAAGGCCGCAGATTGAACTGGAGCAGGTTAGGCTGTTGTTAATATGTCCACCAGTATGACCAGCTTTCTCAACCTGCTGTTGTGCTGGCGGAGAGCCATCGCTGGGGAGGCCAGACATTGGCTGGGATGACCTGGCGTCCTCACTGCCCTACAGACGCCGCAAGCAACAATGTGCACACATTAAGAGAACAATACCGCTGATTTTGACATGCGAGTCTGTGTCATACTGATTCAATACCTTCTTCCTTCAATGAGACACCTGAAAGGTTCTTTAATTCATTAAAGTACAAAGGTTTTTAAACCTCTATGAAAGTGAACACGACGCATGTCAAAAATACTGATACTATCATCAACACAGGATGTAGGAAGACAATTTCAATTCAAATGGGGATAATCTCAAAAGGCTGTAACCACTGCAATGAAGTGTGATTTTTAATGAGCCAGGCAAGGAAAGGAAACGTGCAGCAAATGAATGCCAGCCACTTAAAAACATCATATTCGGTCAGAATCTGGGTGGAGGTTTTCATTTCAACAAAGATAAAAGATCAACAGGAGAAAAACATTTCTGTAGCACTCGTGTGCTTTGGACTAACTTGAATAAAGGCTTAATATCCTGATGTGCAGAACAACAAGCTATACCACCAAGAACAACTACCCTATAAAACTGATAATGAAGAATACGCTGCTAAGGTTATTAATATGCACGTACCAACAACAGCACAGCAGCACAATTCTGCATGAACAACTCTATGATTGGTTAGTTTTGTTGTCTTGGTGGGTTTACGTACTAGGAAGGTGTTGCCACAGTGACCGCAGACCACCCTCATCCCCTCAGGTTGGATAGGCAGTGCCGGCTGGGCGGGTTGCTCCTCGGGGATTACCATCACCGGGCTCAGGTTGATTATGCGTCTGCTGTCGAGGGAAGAAAGGGAAGGACAAACATATGATTACAAACAATCCGAGACAAGCTTATAAAAGCTGACTTTCCTGGTGCCGACATTTTGTCAGAGCCTCAAATTTGGCTTTGGAAAAGAAGTAAACATATAAGAAATGAGAAATAAGAGGGTAAAACCGACTGAACATTGCTGCCTGCCACCTACCAGTTTGGTCGAGGACATCCTATCCTCCTGGACGTGTCTTTACAGATGAGCAGGCAGTTACAGGGACACCTCACATATTTCTTCCCTGTTGGGGGGTTCTTGATAGGCTGGAAGGCAACATAAAAGAATCAGCTCACTGGGAACAATCAGTTTAATACAGAACATGAAAACACAGCCATAAAATTGGTTTAAAACACTTTAGTCCTCAGTCATGGTGTATTTAAAACCCAGACAAATTTAGTTTTTAAAAAAAAGGCTAAATATAAAAGATAAATTTACATTTTAAGAAGAAATTTCAAATGTGCTAGTTTTGGAATCGAGAACTGTTTAATTTATGCAAAGTTGATCACAGGATGAATGATGCATGTCGCTCCAGATTTAGATTTATGTCTGGTGAACCTGAGCTGAAAGCCAAACACCGTCAACTGTGCACTGCGTTGGATCCTACGTAACAGAATATCATATGGTTCTGCTGATGCATAAGCACCACAAATATCAGCCAGTGGAAATTGCATTTCCCAACCGAGTGTTTGTGATGACAGCCATTCATTCTGCTTGCTGCCTACACTGACAGGTCTATGAAAGCTTTCAGTTACTCAGGCTGAGACGCAGGTGGCACATTCGAGTCATATGGAGCACTTATCACTGGACTGACTGATAGATGTAACAGATATCTACATCAGCATCTGGCAAGGCCCTGAAGGTAGACACGATGAAAAATATTGGCATCTCTCTTGATTGCTGACAAATTACGTGTTGCGTCACACAAATTGATGCTGCATAATAATACAGGACCAGGCACTCAGATACAGCTGGATGTGACTGTCACACTAGGAAAAGCTAGTGCACATGTGATTAGGTTGCGAAAGAGATGAATGTAATGATTTTATAAAGAAGGAGAGAAGATCATTGATACAGAAGGCTAAATGGCTTTACTCAACTCGATAGTTGAGTTATTCCGACTCTGTGACGCTCCAACAATCACTTATAAAGCCGTCATTGGCCTCAACAGTGGCATCCACTTACTGTAGCTTCATTGCAGACAGTGCACTTGACCACGTGCTGATGCAGCTTTCCATCCAGGTTAATGAGCGACTGGCATACGCGGCAGTTGATGACAGGCACACCGCCGGCGTCGGGACTGGCGATGGCTGTATAAGGAGGAGGTAGTTCGGCTTTGAGAAGAGGAGGGCAAAGCACACAACACACGGCCAGCTGTTAATCGCATGCACGTGTAACACTTCATGATGTTGTTAGCAGAAATGTGCCCAAGTGTTCACACGGCCTCAAAACAATAAATCAGTGTCAAAACAGATAATAACACTGAAAATGGTTCACAAGAACATAACTACAAAAACAGCTTTGGTATACCACCAAGGCCAGTAAAAATCATGTTTATATTTTGGAATATAAAGTTTGTGCAGTGATTTTCATTGGTTGAGGATGAGATACAGGATAACCCAAGCTTAATTCAAGGTCCACTTACTTCATGGGACGATAACGGCCACACAATGCAGCTGAAAGCTCTGGAAGAGATCTAGTGTGTGGCACTTGAGTTAAGAATTTGTGTTTGGAAATTAACTACCCATTCATAATGGACAGTGCACAGCAAAATCTAATTTCTGGCAAGGGTTTAGCAGACACAGTCTTAATCTAAGTTCTTGGCGTCTCTGTGTAAAACTCAAAACAAAACAACAGAAGAAGAAAAAGATTTCTGTCCAAATGTGTGTATCTTTGAATTTGTATTGGTTCAAATATTCTATATAGAGCTGAAACATTAGTCAATTAGTCAACAGACAATTTTTTACACAACTATTTTTAAAATTCAATAATCATTTGAGTCATTGTTTAACTAAAACTGCCAAACATTTGCTGGTTCCAGCAAACTGAATATCTTTGTGTTTGTTGCTTTGGTCAGACAAATCAAAACATTTCAACATGTCACTTTCAGAATTATTTTCTGACATTTAATGGAGAAAATATTCAGTACATTAACAGATAATGAAAATAATGGTAGTTTGTAGACCCAATTTTATAATAAGCCACTCAATTTATTGGAAAAACAAAAATCTGATACATCCCAAAACAACTAGTTATAGAAACTAGCTGTAAGCTAACATGGCTTACAAATCTTACCAGGGGAAATCATTTCCAATATTAAAATTTCTCAAAAACACATAACCACACAAACGTCATTCACTGACTTATGACTCCCTTAGTAACTGTTACAACCTAGTGTACTGTAGGTCATAGGCAACCAGGAAACACTCCTGCACATACGGTATTAAAACCCATGACAGCCAGTGTACGGTTGTGATTGCTCAACATGTGACTTTTCACTCTTTGTCAGGGGCCAAGCACATTCTGTAAGTTTAAGAAAGAAACAATGGGCCCTTTTAGATACCAGAGTGACATGTAACATATAGTATGTGCCAGTCTTCTGATTGTGAGGCCATGGCATTATGAGGACATATCAATACGTTGTAATGTAACATTTGAGCTACTTTTTTGTAATGTAATAAAATGTGTTCTTAAACATATGGAGAGAAATAAATGTCTTACAGTATGCAGCTGGTTGTGACTGGAAAGATGCACCGCCTACCGATAAAATGAACATATTAGGGTTTAGATTTGTTCAGTTGGATGGGAAGCTAAATTAAAATTTTCTGCTAATGAGGCTAATAAGCACCTAACTATTTTAGTTGAGAAACGAAGAAAAGCCAGTGTTTTATGGTCAACATCATCAACATGATCAAATGGCGGCCTTTACAGACTTAAAGATTTTCTCTTAATGTCTGAAAGAACCACTGTGAATTAAGTACAGCAGCCATTCAAATGAACTCTGTACTGTTTAATCCCACATTAACCTCGTGTAATTAGTCTACATTCCATGTGTTTTTCAGGGTTTAAAAAACTTAATCCATAGACTTGCACCAGTCACTACCTTTACTATTACTGTAGTATTCAAGCATACTTCACAAATATGTGTGATACCATGGCAATGATTTAAAATCCCCATTAAACCATTTAATTTAATTTAATTTAATTAATATAGTCATTTGTTATTGTAATTGACTCTTGAACTCTGATCGTGCAAAATAAAAAAAAAGGAAGAAAGTTCAGCAACAATTATTCATTTAATTTAGAAGCAAAGTCATACTTAATGTATGCATGTCTGCAGTTATACTTTGTACAAATTTGGTGCACAGCTCCAGCAGTTATGGGACAAAGGAAAATGAATCTACAAAAATTTTGAAAATAATTCAACCTAAATAACAACTAAATATCTATTGGGCTGTTGGCAAATGAAATTCAAAGATCTCAGCCCGGGCTTAAGAACACTGTGACGGTTGTTTCTCCATATTTTCTTATAGACCACACAATTAAATGCTTAATTGACAAAACGAACAACAGGTTCATCAATAATAGAAATAATTATTTGTTGTAGCCATAGACAAATGACCAATCCAGTATATCACATTGTCTTCTGATACATTATGAAGTCTTTGTTAAGCCTGAAGTCCAGTCTACTGACCAAACACAAAGGAGGCATCTAATCTGACATATGACCAATTTTCTTCTCGTCTCGCTGTGAATGAGATAATGACATGAGCCAACAGCTAAAGGAGCTTGGCTATGAGATTCAGAGACACTCAACCAGTCGACACCACAGGGACAGATGGGACACCCGGTCTACATCTGGGTAAACGTGTTCAGAAATACAATCAAAGCATGCCAAAGACTGGACACTCCTACTGTGTGCAGGCAGCACATGGAGGTGTTTGTCTGAGAAGATTCTCAATCATCTATGTCATAGTTATCCAAGGAGTGTTAAATCAAAGGCAACTGGATTTGGCTAAGACGTTTCACCTCTCATTCAGGGGATGGTGGTGCTTATTAAACACACTACTTAGTTCCAAAATGTAATACTGAGTAGTCTCTCAGCCATACATTCCCATTTAACATGTGTGAAATAAAATCCTTAAATTCAAACACAGTCAGCACTTCTCCACCACCAGGGCTCATTCTCAGGAGAGGCCTGTTTTTACTCGCTCCTCTCTCTTCTGTGTGCACTGAAGTTGTCCTAATGCACGTCTGAAACTGAATATGGTAGCTATAGGTTTTCACTGTGCTCAGAGCCAGAGGTAAGACGAGAAGACACTCTACTACAACCACCGACAGCACCACAACACACAGCCACCACGTCCTGTCTAGCTGGTGCCATCGCTGGCTGGATGATTGTGGGACTTGTGGTTTGTGGTGCAGCATGGCCAACAGAGAAGCTGGTATGCAGACACAAGCTGCTTAGGGATGTTTTCTGCTTTTAATTCTGTTTCCTGTTGCCCGTGTGGCATTAAATAAAAATCTATTTACAGTTAAAGGAAAAGGCTGGTCCATCCATCCATCCATCCATCGTCAAACACTTATCCTGCGTACAGGGTCACGGGGAGGAAAAGGCTGGTGTTGTTCTAAATTTTTCTTTTTGCCAACAAGGAAATAATCTGTCTCAGTACTTTCTACCTATGGCCCATTCCTGCTAAAGAAGTAAATCAATCAGGCCACAAATTTAAAGTAAAATTTTTTTTAAAGAACCAACATCTGATGTGCTGACGACCTAACAGTCGTTACATCAGATCCTGGCGCGTCTTGTCTCTTTGTCAGTTCAATTCCTAAATGGCGGCCTATGTGGTCTTTGTGTGAGGTAGCGCCTCTGCTCTTTTTCTCTAAAGGTGTTCAAACCACTTCTACATTACTACACCACTTTTTGTTGCTGCTATATGTAACCATAATGTAGATCAATCTCATGCAATAAAACTGATAATATCGCTAATATCATGATATTAAACATTTATCTTGTTAACATTTATAACAGCTGTTTTATATACAAGATGATAGTGTACACCCCTGCAGTGAGCAGAATACTGCTGTATACTAAAACTACTACAGTTTAATGACAGCCATGTTGACTGTAATGAAGGAATCTATCAGGCTTTAGCTATTAGTAGAATCAATTTGTTGTTGGTTTTGTTGACATTAAGAAAAACTGTAGAATATCACCAGGCTCAATCCTAGCTAGTTAAAACTGTCCAGTATGAGGATAACTGTTGCAGATTCTTGACTCAACTCTTGAATGTCATTTTTCTCTAATACTCAAATGTGCATTTTAACAGCTTTTCCTATATGTGTAAAGCGTTGTCTCTGAATGGAAGCAACCTGAAGCATTTGTTTATCATTGTCAAGATTAAAACTCTGTCACGGGCTTTTGTTGCAGTCAATTTGTTCTGCCATTCAAGCGCAAAATCATCAAGCAAGCGGCAACAAAATCAAGTCTTGTCAAATCTAACCATTCAGATGCAGCCAAGGTCATTGGTCTCCACCCCTCACCACCACCACACAGAGAACATTGAAACAATGAATCTCTACCTGTTCCTGCTGACTATAAAACAATTATGGACAACTCAGTTAATCAGGTAAAGGAGTCCTACTTCTTTGGGGAAAAAAATCAGGAAATGAATAGAGCAGGGTTTCACTTTCACAAATAACATATTTTATTCACTTCTAAGAACAGCTCACATTTACTCAGTTTCCTAAATGCAGTGTCATTGTGTTTTAGGATAATGCCTCCGTTTTGGCAACTTTGACCCAAATTAATCCAGTTTACAAATTGGCTGATTGTGGCTTGAACCCCAACAAACCCAAAGAGTCTGGAATTAGCCATTATCCAGACTGCAGAGAGGGTGGGAGAAGAAACTAGGCCATGAAATATACTGACATTCATTTAGGATTTTATACAGTCAGTGCTGTAACATCCAAGCAGGCTGTCAGTTTACAGGTTATTACAGTCCAGAGTTAAAGTCTTTATGAATAATCCGGTAGAGAAATAAAATCTTATTTCAGAAATAAATTCTGCAGGATTAGACATTTGTTCAGAAATGCTCCGAAAAGAGCATTACACAGTCAATGAATTCATTCATTCATTCATGTGGCAAGGCAAAGACATGTTGTTTCTTATGAGCCCACAAAAAGATACAGTCAGAGAGATCTTTATCCACAGTGTCTGAAGCTACATTTACTTCAGACTTTATAGTTAAATTAGATTTGAAAGACAAATCCACCAATCTGCCAAGACAAGGCATATAGCAAAAACATAATCCATTGACGGGAGAGACTGATCTGCATGTTTTTTGAAGAAACACTAAGAAGGAATTTTTCTCATCTCCAGCAAAAAGACACATAATGCATGTCTCCAGCTTCAAATTGGAATCTGATGGTCAGCTACCTTATTCAGAAATTGATCAGACTGAATACAGTGTAAATGCCCGTCCTGACAGTGGCTGCTAGACCGAGTAGACACAGGATTTATGAACTGTAATTGCCTGGGTCATTCAGCCCTGCTATGGTACTGTAACCTACATTCAGCTGTTTACAAAGCAAAATGTGGAAAGTGTGTCAATTTCCTGCCTGTAAGTGTATAGGTTTTGAACTGTAGCCTACTGAAGTTGCAATGCATTAAATAACTCATTCAAACTGCCCTTGCATTAAGGGCCAAATATTTATGGTTCACAGTCTCATTTTCATGAAAACGTACAAATTGACAGCTAGACGTAACATTATGACGTTAAGATTATGTTTTGCTGTAGGTTTGGCCCCATCCACAAAGGACACATCTGGGCATTTTGTTGATTTGCAGCTGGGACAAAAGGCTGCCTCCATCTGCAATGGCTAAATTCTCCCCCGTCATTCCACAACATTAAAGCCCACATCCAGTGAGGCTACATCACGACTCCTATCTTTTTGTTTTATTTTATTTTTTTTGCCAAGACCCAAAACATTACAGGCCCCAGTGAGTCGTGATGTACGCATTTCTGCAGTAAAAACATAGCTTGCTGTTATTGTAGGCCCATCTTCTCTAACCCACTGCTCCAGTTCTCACAGTGCAAGCTCCACCTTTCTCCAGCTGCCGATTGCCTTGCATTGCCTTGCTGCAGTTTTATTTACGCACAAACTCGATACGCCCCAAAATGATTCAGCATGCAGGCTGCGGGGCTCTACATGTCGTGTGTTTACCTCGGGGACTTGAATCTTGCAGGTACGGGGGAGCTGTGGGGGTCACATTCTCCGAGTTGGGGCCCGACAACAGCGGGGATCGCTCGTCCATGCCGTCGGAGGCCATGTCGTTAACCGTGGACGGTGAGAAAGGACGGGCAAAGGCGGTGGGGAGGCTCCTGGCTGCACCGAGTCTTCCCTCAGCACGGAGGAGCAGCCGGCTGGTTGTTGTTGGTGGTGCCGAGTTGCTCCCGTCCAGCAGCCTCGGTGACGGCAGCCTGGAGGAGGAGGAGCTCTGCGGTGATCCCCGCCCATCACTGACATGACCAGGGGCATGGGCAGAGCTCTGACACCCTGCGCACAGAGAGCACAATGCTGCACGCGCAGGATACTGTGATGGAATTTAGTGTGAAAAGTCTAATTAAATTTGTTTTGAAGTGCATTGTAGTGAACAGGATTAAGCCTGTTTGGATTTTAACCCATATTTCCAAAAATTACAATATAAAATGTCCAAAACGGTCCAAACATGCAGATAAAATGTGAGTTTGTTTAATGATGGAGGGACACAGTAATAAATCAATAAAGCAGCGTGTCCAGTGTTCGCCACTAGATGTCACTGTAATAACGTATTATAATGTAGGTCTATAATTAAGACCAGTGATTGTCAACCTTAATGGCTTATATTTTGACCCACTAAAACGAAGCTATGTCCACTGGCAACCCTTCATGACAGATTGCAGGTGTTTTTTGTAATTCTTCCTACGGCAACTGCTCTACTTAAATATTTTAGATGCAAACATATACAGTAGCCTAAAATACATAAAAAAAAACAAAGATTAAAGTCTGAACATCAGACTAAAGCGTGAGGGTGTCCACAAGTAAACAGAAACATTTGGTCTGCTCAGACACAAAGCAAATGCATCAGGATTGATAATATATGTCTGTACCCAGCCTTTCGCCCCATGTCAGCTGGCATTGGCTCCAACCCCCATGCGACCCTGTACCGGTTGACAATGATGGATGGAATATATGTTTGTACTTTACTATTGTCATTCTCTGTCTCTATATTGTCAGTGTAGTATAGCCATCTGCTAATTCTGTATGTGCAACATCTTTTGCATGTCTTTATGTCCTGAAGTAGGGAATCCCTCCTTCTAAGGGACAAGGGTCTAAAAGAGGTCATATTATAAATATCATAAAGTCATATTTTGTACAGATTGTAAAGCTCTTTGTGGCAAATGTTTTGTTCATGAATATAAATAAAATTGACTTTACTAGACTGTTCTGATAGCTTTATTGGCATATAACAACAGTTCAGAAACCACATTGCTGAAGTAATTACATATAATTCACATGTTATATACATAATTATGAAATCAATGTATGACCCTTTTAGATTATGCCTGTTGTCATACTGCTGTTTTCTTTATGTTCTGGTGTGTCTGATGAGTTGCAGTTGGTGTATCCTGATTGGTTGAGAAGTGTAATTTTGTAGGAATCTGAAAGTCAGCACTTTAACCTGACTGAGTCACTATCGAAATCATACTGTATTATTCTGGTTCTTCCACCTGATTTATTTCTGTTAAAACGAAACTTCAAACCACAACCTCTACTCTTTGTTCCCCAAATGGTTTGAAAATCATTAGCAGGACCTGAAGGCCACATCTGGCTGCCACCACTAGCTGTGGATCTGTGATCTCTGTGTGTGGACAGGACTTCAGAGTCTTCCAATATTTTACAGTCCTGCCCTTATAAGAGTTACAGTGTTCATGTTTTGTCCTGAGATTCACAGTACATATATAAATATTGGTGGTGTGCTTCATGTCCATTCCTCCCCTAGAATTACAACACGCTCGATTGTTTGTGCCAAACCATTCCTTGTTGCTTATGTCATGATGGGTGTAAGCCTCAGAATATACAAATTCATTCTCTGGCCACAAAATCAACAGATGGTGTGAATGAATTAGAAGTGCCTCCAAAGTTTCAGTACATTTAAACCTTCATAGCTATGTGTCCTTAAAACATCAGGATAACTATATGTTTATGTGTATAAATGAACAACAACAAACTGTTCCAATGCACAGGTATGACTGCATGATGTTTAGCACATTCAAGCCAGCTGGTCCTGTTTAGGACATTGTAAAATGGCCCATAAATTCCTGGAGCATCATACACTCCTACTCTATTGACAGGCTCACTGACTTCTAGTCTTTAGAGGAACAAAGGCTGCAAATTCACACTTTTACCAAAAAGGCTGCACACTGTTAGGTTACAGAAGAGCTCCTGCATCAGACACTTTCTTTTTCCAGCATGCACGTTTGGTGTTTGCACTTGTAAAGGCATTCCCAGCCATACTACAAGTTTACATTCTTTTGGATACGGCTCCCTTAATTACTCCAGAGACTCTGACGGAAACCCCTGGCTCCTGTCTCTGCTGTTACTGGGCCAGTAAATTGTGATTCAGATCGCATGTAAGAGGCTGCAAGTCAGCGACTCATTTTTTCCGACGACTTCAGGCACCAGAGGAGCGTCACAGCACTAACAGGCTGCTTCGTCGCTGCGGTTTCTTTGCAAGGTAAAGAAACATTACATACACGAGATATTCATGAAATTGTTGCACGGTGACGAGGAAAAAGATGTTTGTATGGGTGAAAGTTGTTGAAGTGATCAGGAGTTGCGGACTAGCTGTGATGCTCCGTTAGTTTTTAGACTTTCTGCTGCTGGAAAACCATGAAGCTACCAAAAAGACAGGATAGCTTCCGGCAATAATGGTTGATGTAAAACTAAATGTGCCACCCTTTGAAGATAAAAATGTGTGGAGAAATATGTGGCAGTAGCCTAGCGTGAATACACTGTAATTCAACATGTTCTTTTTATTAAATGGTGCATAATTTATACTTTTATTTTGAAGGTAAAATCATATTTTGTTGTATGGTGAAACAAATCTCCTAACTTAAAATGTACTGGCCCATCAACATCTCCAGTCCTCCTTGACAGGTACAATACAGTCTGTCTAAAAATTGCATGGAATTGATCGTTTTTTATTATAGCTCGCTAAAAAAGGTCTTGTGTTTGCTTCCTAAAATATGCTGAAGATGCAGTAGTCTCTGTTTTGTTTTGGTGCAAGGTAGAGCAGACCCATTGTGTAAACAAAACAATCGCTTTGTTTCAGGAAAAGACCACAATGGAAAAATGTTTAGTGGATCAGATCTGTCATGATGCCAAACAGATGGCTTTTCCAACCATTACAGCTGTGTGTGTGTGTATACTGCTCCACAAGTCTAATAAAGCCTGATACTTTTTGTTTCAGCCAGTTTGGAGATGCTCCAAGGGGCAGTGAGCAGTGCCTTACTCTGCCTGTCCTGCTTACTCCTGTTGGGGGTCTGCTTCCCAGCAGAGGTTGCAGGGGCAGGGGCAGCAGGGCCTCTTCCTACTTTTCCCCCTAAACAAGATTATGGGGAACCAGACCTTGAGGATTGGGAGTGGGGCTCTGGATCATCTCTTCTGCACCTGCTCCACAGCTTCCCTGCTGACAGCCCCTTCGTAACAGAGACCCCAGGAAAACCAGTCAACTGCACCCAGCGCTTCTGGTTACCACCGTCCTCTCCGATCTGCTGGGAAAACATAGCCGGACCTGAGGAGTTCGCCAGGTCCCGTCTGCTTGTTCTCCAGAATAGGGCTGCCCTGCAGGCTGTGTCCAGCTCCAGCGGGATGGAGGACGGAGGGAGTTCCTACGAGCACCAAGCCAGAGAGGAGGTCCAGGGGATCCACTCAGACCACCAGAGTGTGGTGGAAACTATGCAGACCATGGAGAAGGTCTTTGTCTCTCTGCAGGAGAAGAGGAAAGAGGGGAAGGAGCAGGGGGTCCTTACCAGGTGAGAAACAGAAGTCCACAGATCATTTGATGGAGTTAATAAAAGAATTTTTGGGGTGGGGAATTAACCACTCTCCTTGACTTGGAAGAAAATACAGCCACTCTTTATTTGTGAATCAAGACCTGCTAAATAAATTGCAGCCACAGAATGAATGAAATAAGCACAGGTGGCAGTTCTGTGGCTGCTGATGGACTTCAGCACCACAATATTTTCCATAACCCAGGATTATATTTCATAAATATATATGTATGAGATCAGATGTCTGACTGTCCGTCAAATCAGTTACATGATGCCAGTGTAGCATGGCTCGGTGTGTTGGAGATGTTTCTTCCTGACAGCTGTTTCAGAGAGTGTAGAGTTCAATATAAAAATGAATGGCATCTTTGTGATTAACTATTTATCTTTTACAATAAATCTCAGAAAGAATTAATCTGGGATGAGAAAAAGTCAAAAGACCTTCCCCAGCTTTCCAAAAACATTCAAACTACCCATCATTCAGTAAGAAGAAAAATACATAATTCACCCTGTCCCTTTTCTTATACCCTCCACCCATCTAATACTTTTTTTCAGTTGAAAGGCGGTGTATAGCCTGTAATCAAATGTTAAGGGGTCCTCAAACGGTACATTTGAACTCTGGCAATATCCCCACTTACATTGCTGTGGAATTATTACTAAATCACTGTTAGTGAGGGAGTCACCCCGGATCAGTGTTGCTTGTTTAGCTCAATCCCAAACACTTTCTGAATGCCAAAGCAGACAGTGGAAAAACCATCCAGACGAGCATCTGAGTCATTTCAACTGTTTTCCAACAGTCATCTGTTGGGACATCTGGCTGAGATGAGGCTGTGGCACTCGCAAAGAATGGAGGCAACTTAACACTTTCGCTCCGTTAGATGTGTGAGAACAGACTCACGCCTCTTGGACAGTTGTGACGTTTTGGGAAAATAAATCTTCTGCAAACTAGTGTGTTAATGTGTGAAAAAGTCTCAGACATTTACTTGTGGTTTGTCACCCCTTTCAGCATGAAGGAGAATCTTGCCAACACAAGGGACGCCATAGATGGAAGAGAGCACATGGCAAACATCCTGGAGAACCATTTTTCTACTTTAGAGAAGACTCTGCTCAACATGCAGCTCCGACTCAACAAACTCTTCCAACAGTGACGATGACGCGTACCTGTTGTCTCTTTTTCTTGCCTTATTTGAATTGAATTGATATATCCGTGTATTATACAACCATGTAGCAACTGCATGTACACTCAGGATTATGTTAGTCTGTGGTATGAGGACAAAACACACTTGATATGCACCTTATCTCATCAAAACATTTACTAAATTAACATGTGTAACCTGGAATCAGCAGATAAATAAACCTCTTTATCAGGGAGATTTGATGAATATGTAGCTGTTAAATCTCCTTTAGATCTCATGGTCACA